GAGTCAGTAGTGACCATGGGTGACCCAGAGTCTTAAATTCATACTGTGTCCAGGATGTGTTCCAACCCAAAATCATATGTGAGCACCATTCTGGTGACCCACATTCATGTGATCCTACAAAAGAAATACTGTGCCTGCCAGAGAGAGTGACCCACTTCCCAGGCCACCGTCCTGGAATCTGGGCTTGGCTTTAGGACTTGAGGATGGCTGCATATGTGCAAGTCTCAGAACTTTTAGAACTTTTAGGGAGTGGCAGGTTGGCTCTATCCATGGGGAACAGTGCCCTGATGGGGAGAAATGGGATATAAGCCCACACAGGTGCTGGTTCAAGCTCAGGACACCTGACCAGTCAGTCAGTACCAGATGCACGAGGACTTCCTATGTGGAAGGCACTCCAAAGGGTAGGGTACCCCGAAGGTTTAGGCCCAGAGCAAGGGCCCTGTTTGCTCAGTTCTAAGGATTGCACTAGCCCCAAGTATATAAATTTCATAGCCACCCAAGGGATGAAATTTGAGGAGTTTTACAGGACCCCACATATCCACATACTACCCAATGTGCCCCAAATTGTAAGCTGTGCTGATACTGCATTTTGTACCATAGCACCGCTACCAGGGGGATCCTGTCAAAGAGTTTAGGAGCTCTCTGTGGGAAGAGAACCCAGCAACACCACCACCAAATGCAGCCGCCATTTGCTGAAGCCTACTACGGGCCATCAGGTCTCACACAATCCTCATAACAGCCATATAAAGTAGGTTTCATCTCATTTTACAAGTAAGGAACTGAGGTTACGAGAGCCAACAGCTACTATCTGTGGTCACATCTGCTTCTCAGCAGCAGAGCTTCGATTTCGTACCATGACTGTATGATTCCCAAGAACAGGCCCTTCTCACCTACGGCAGCACATTGATGTCATTTGGGTATGTTGGTGAGGTCTGGAGACCACAGGCAAGAAAGAAATCTTGAGACGTCTTTAGTGCAAACAGGTGATTTTATGAAAGCATAGGGACAGGAACCATGGGCAGAAGGAGCTGCTGCGCTGGGGTTGTAAGGAATGGTTGATCATATACTTGGGAGTTGGGGGAGGCAAGGAAAAGGGGAGGTGTCCAAAAGGACTTTGATATGCTATAGAAGACTCTCGGGATGCTAGAGGCCTTGCTACTGTCAAGCTAGGGTTGTTTTTTCTTCTAGTAAGTCATCAACCTTAAGACAGTTGGGAATTCCTGGAAGAATGTCATACTCTGCCCATCTCAGGTCCTTGTCAATGGGTGGCAGGTCAAGAAGAAACTTAATTTTGTTTACTTTCCCTTCTGCCTCAGTTTCCCACATCACTCAAGGAAGGGAGGGTGATGTTAGGGCTCCAGGAAACTGAAATATGGGTCTCTGGGAGTTAAGCTATTGACAAGAATGCTATTTCCTTGTAACTCACCCTCAATACTTAAAATAGTTCCACATTAAAAACCCCTAAGCTGAGAAACTCTGGAGAGGGGGGCAACCCTCTGGGGCCCCCTCCCTCTCTGAGAGGTTTATACTCTTGCTCAGTAAACTTTGCTTTGCTGCCCACCACTCTGGTCTGCCTCTTTATTCTTTGAAGCGGTGTGACCAAGAACTGTGGGCACTAAAGGCAGCAAATCCTGCAAGACTTCCAGGGTGATGTAAAATCCTTTTAAGGGTGGTTTCCTCTTTAGAGCAGGGGGCCCCTTGTCCCTGCCTGCTTTTCTTCCGACTATCCTTCATTACTAGTACATAAGTGCTTATCACAAAGGCAAAGAATCCAGAATCCTGGCCCTAAACTCTAGTTAGAGTTGAATGTCACCATTTGGAGTCCAGGAGAGCAAACTGGAGGGTTCCAGAAATCAGGAAGCAGCAAATGGGGGGAAGGGCAGGAGCACTCTATTTAAATGGCAGATCAACCATTTATAAATTGGGTGATCTCAGTCAAGATAAACTTGGCGTCTCGAAGCCTATTTATTACTTCTCTTCTGTAAAATGGAGCCAATCTACTCTACTATCACCTCTTTACGGGAATTATGCAAAACCAAGTACGTGACAGCATCTGGTAGAATGCCTGCGTACTGGGTTGGTTTCCTTCCCGCTTCTCCGGAAAAGAACGCACTGAGCCCTCTGAAATGTGAAACAGACTGCACAGAATTTGGCAGGAGTCTGAAAACTTGCTCCTCTTGAATAATTCTATGTTTCATACAATTTTTATAACTTGTGAGAAGGCTCTAGATAATCAACAAGCAGGTAATCTTTGATCAATAAATGTGCCAATGGGGACACCTGGGTGGCTCAGTTGGTTAAGTGCTTGCTTTTGGCTTAGGTCATGATCCCAGGGTCCTGGGATATAGTCCCGCATCCCGCCCCGCCCCCGCTCCCGCCCCCGCTCCCGCTCAGCAGGGAGCCTGCTTCTCCCGCTGCCCCTCCCCCTGCTTGTGCACGCGCACATGCGCGCGCGCGTGCTCTCTCTCTGACAAATAAATAATCAGAAAAATAAATCAGAAACTTACAATATAGTTGCTTCTACAGAGATGCTTATGACTTCATTGGGCCATATATTGTATACTGAAATTAAATAAGGGCTGACTAAATTGTGTATACAGGTCCACATCCCTTACCTAAAGCTTTTGGGGCTGATGTATTTTGAAACTTAGAATTTTTCAGATTTTCAAAAGCAATAATGTGTAAGTGTGTGTGTGTGTGTACGTACGTGGGTGACATTACTTAAACATCCCTAGAGGAGTCGATCTGAGGCAGTGTTCATAAACTGTGACATTTCCTCAAAGAAATGTGTAATGGGCATACAGCATAAATGAAGCATAAAGATAATAAGTAGGCTTACGCCATTAATTCAGTCAGGTTTTGCATCTAAAGGAGTTTTGGAGCCACTTTGAAAGAAACCCCTTCAGTTTTCAGAGCAGTTAGGATTTAGGAACAGTAGGTAAGGGCCAAGGACCTGTTACAGGGCTAATGCATGTGACCGAAAGGGTAAGGATGGAGCTACACTGGAGTTGAAGGAGTTGGTGACTGTTTTGTAAATGAGGCAGCATTTGGACTACTATGAGTTAATTTTCTGTCCCTGGTGGGTGGGGTGTGTCTTGTCACCTTGTTCTGTGGGTCACAGAAGCTGTGTTTTCCTGCATGAACCACTGGGAGCCCGAAGAGCAAAGAGGGTTTTGTGAGTTGCTTTCCTAAGATAGTCTCCGCAGTCGAGAGCCTAACCCCCAAGAGTGTCCCAAGTGGAACAGTCGAGAGCCTAACCCCCAAGAGTGTCCCAAGTGGAGACTAGAGGAGGAGACGAGGACAGTGTGGGAACGCCGAAGGAGAGAAGCTGGCCAGAACCTATCTACAAATGAGACAATACAGGCTTTAATTCCTAGCTAATCCCATCTCTTAAAATTTGAGCCAGACAATGTGGATCCTTTGGCTTTTGGTAAAGATGAAGTCACCCTTAAAACACTTTCACATTCCTTAATGCCTTTGGTTTGCTCTCTGGACAAATTCCCAACAGGGCTGATTTCTCTGACATCCATTCTTCTCTCCTCTCCTCCCTCCTCATTTTTTATTTTCTTTCTGGCCTGAGATGACCTTTGGTTTGTTTCTCCTGAAAGGGATTCTGCATCAGGAAGAATAGGAATCTGCCCCAGGCTTGACCTTGGCCTTGGCCTTGGCTTTGGCCATACTTCCTGCCCTTCTCCTCACCCCCTCCCACCTCTAAAGGTCAGGACCCCTGCAGATGCAGACACACTTCCTGCCCAGCAACACTGCTCCCCCTAGGTTATTACTGCCAGAAGAGGAGAGTGAGAGGTCTAAAGGGAAATGTTGAACCACGGGAGTCTGAGAGGATGCCAGAGGCAACATATTTAATGGTTGCCTGTTTGGGAGAACAGGAAGGACAGAAGAAATTGGAGAATAAATGAAGAAAGAACAGGAAAGTGAAAGCCAGATCAGGGTAAGCTCCCCCCCGCCAGTCTTCCATTATGTATGTCCCCTACTCTGGAGTGTGTTACTGTCTAGAAGAATGGAGCAGAGGAGCCCCCCGCCAGGGTGATGAAATCTCAAAATTAAGTCACATGGCAATTTTCTTGGATTCCCTTCTGCACCCATGCATGTCTCACTATACTATTTCTTGTTGGAAATTAATTCAGAGGAAATGGGCTGAGGGCAGCCACTTCCATCCTCTATTTATTCAATTCATAGCTTTCCCGCTCCATGAATAGATTCAACTCCTTCTCTGCTGAAATTATTCTTTCACCAACGTTCTTCTGCAGAGCAAAAAAGGGGAAGAGGTGATGACTGACAATAAGACTCTCTTGATCCCATTCATTTTGCATCATTGAGCACCTGAAGTGAGCACCAGTCTCACTTCTGGACATAAGTAAACCTTCTGGAAATAGCTCTCTTTCTCCGCCCTCCCTCAACTCCCTGTGCCAGACTCTTGAGACTATACGACCTACACCTTCTTACCTGGCATAGCATAAATCATCCATGTTGGCTGAATGGATTTCTTTATTTTTAAAGATGAATTTATTTATTTGAGAAAGAGCGTGCTTGCAAGCAGGGATGGGGGCAGTGGGAGAGAAGAGAATTCCTACTGAGGACAGAGCTGGGGGGCGGTGCTCAATCCCACTACCCTGAGATCATAACCCAAGCTGAAATCTAGAGTCTGACACTTAAGTGGCTGAATGAATTTCTAAAGGGATTCAGAGAACGAACAGGGAGCGCCCAAAATGTAGAGGAAAAGGAAAACAGAGGAAGGGGGTTGGCGGTAAGAGGGGTATGTAAAAGAAAAAAACAAAGAGATGGAAAAAGAAGCAAGACAAAGGGCAGATAGTAGAAGATGGGAGGAGAGAGAAAAGGGTTGAGAAGGGTCAAATGAAAGAGCACTGTCCTTGCTCCATCACATGTTCTAGCTCTGTCTGTGCCACTCAGCACCTTCCCAGCACAGCCTAAAGAGCTGTAAGAAAAAAACCTGACCCACGTGGGTCATCAGGTACAGTCACAGCTTGAGTCACTCATTTCCATCCACAGCTCACAGGTGCATGTGGAAAGCCCAGGAGGTTCCTGTGATGGTGGCTGCAGGGAAGGATGTGGGTGGAGGATGCCTCAACCTCTTACAGTCCACACCCAAAGACAAAGGGACTGGGAAACAGGCTGATGACCAGAGTCACCACAGAAACTAGAGCTGTTCTTACACTTATCTCCTCCCAGGGCAGGGCAGACGGGAAGACCTAGAGACACTACAGATCGTTATCCTATTCTTTCACTTCTAGCCCTAGGAACTAACTGCAAGTTGGGTGAAACCTAGGGGAAAAGAAGCACTGTGTTCTCAGGGGAGAATGATCCAGAGGAGGCCAGCCTCTCTTCCCAGAACCTTTTTATGCAGAACACCAGGGAGGAGGAAACCAGTAGGAGAGAGAAGTGAGAAGGAAGAGAAAGAGGAGAAGGGTGAAGAGGAAGGATGAAGAAGATAAGTCGTTTCATTGTCCAGACGTTATCTGGAACTTCGAGTCATTACAGGATATAATAATATACTTTTCAAAAATGACAGTGAGGTAATTGCAGTGAGGAGGAACCTGGCCTGGTTTGGACAGCCTGCAGAGTGTCAAGTCAAAAGGACGGGAGCTTCTGTGGCATTTGCCCCCCTTGAGCTCACAGGCAACTGGAGGACTGTTACAGACAGCCTTGACTGTATCCAGATCCTCGTGGATGAACGTGTACTGGCTTATGCACGTGCGGTTGTGTTCCTTCAGCTTGTGTGACATCAGGCTGTTGCACTCCCTGGTCATCAGGTCAGACCTAAGGTCGTCTTTGTGGCTGGGAAGGAGAGGCTCAGCTCTGAGCATCTTGCTTCCCTGAACTTCGTCTTCCCCGAGGACGGTGTCTTCAGACCAGGCCGGTTGTACCACTCCTTTGTTGCTAACCAGCAAGGTTTCTGTAGTTTGGCTGCCCTCTCCTTGAGTGGCCTTGGTCTTGTCCTCGGAGTCACTGGACCACAGCTCACTCAGGGTCTGATCACTCTCCTGTAGGACTGCTGCAGCCATCTGCAGCCCCAACCCCAGGCCAAGTCCCAGGCCCAGCAGGAGCAGCAACATCATAAAGAAGATCTGCACCAGAGTCAGCTTCATTTTTCCTGGAGGGCGGAAGGGATACAGAAGGGTTGACTTTGAGATGCAACTTGGCTCCAGGAGGGGCCCTAGACTCCCTACTAAACACTGACTCCATAGTCTTCGGGGTCTCCTCCCTCCTCGGCATTACCCTCCTGGCAGAGTTTCTTTCTTGTCTTTTTCCGGCTTCTCTGGTCCCTCCCCACAACATTCCTGTCGCTGTGTAATAATGTGTAGGTGACCAGGAGAAGCAGTTCTGAAATTGGTTTGCATATGGGGAATCAGTGGGGAAAGTTGACCTCAAGTGGCTCCTACACAGGTATTAGTTCCAAATAACCCAAGAGAACAGTTGAGAAGACAAGCAATTACAGTGTCATACTTTCCTTAAGAGAAATTCTTTTTTTTTTTTTTTTAAGATTTTATTTATTTGGGGCACTGGGTGGCTCAGTGGGTTAAGCCTCTGCCTTCGGCTCAGGTCATGATCCCAGTGTTCTGGGATAGAGTGCCGCATCGGGCTCTCTGCTTATCGAGGAGCCTGCTTCCCACCCCCCTCTGTCTGCCTCTCTGCCTACTTGTAATCTCTCTGTCAAATAAATAAATAGATTTTATTTATTTATTTATTTGATAGAGAAAGATAGGTAGTACGAGTAGGCAAAGCAGCAGGTAGAGGGAGAGGGAGAAGCAGGCTCCCTGCGAGCAGCGAGCCCCATGCAGGGCTCAATCCCAGGACTCTGGGATCATGGCCTGAGCCGAAGGCAGCCGCTCAACCAACTGAGCCATCCAGGGGCCCCCTTAAGAGGAATTCTTATAGAAAGCCTTATTCTCAGTAAAGGACTAGAATTGCCATAGGAGACTATCTCTCTATTTTTATCCCAAATTAATTTTTGTTCATTCAAGTATCTATTACTGTCCTCTCTACACATCCTTCCCCTCAAAAGATAAAAAGAAATAGAAAAAGCACTATGGTCCATTCTTATTCCTAAGCCCTAAGCAGAGGCTACACATAGGGATGGGTGGGGCTTTGAGGGGAAGGCAATGCCCAATTTCACATCTCGGGACCCTGTTAAAGCTACATTGTGTCAATGCCAGAACTCTTTTACTACTAAAGATCTCTTACCACTTGGGTATTTCCTGCTGATTAGTTTTGTACTCTTAGGGAGGAAATGGCATAAGAATGAAACAAACAAACAAAAAAAGTCCCCCAAACTCCAAAACTGACCTCCTGGGATTCCCTTACTAATAAAGACCCCAATGAGTGCTGAGAGGAAAAAACATGTATCTTTGTCCTGTGAGGTCAGTTTCATCCCTCATCAAAGACGTTTCCTCCCCCGGGGGGGGGGGGGGGAGATTTCTGTAAAGAACATCGAGACAATTGATAAACTAGGATATAGTCTGTGGAGTAGATAGGATTATATCAATGTTTGCTATACTGAATTTGATAATTATACTATGATTATTTAAAAGAGTATCTTTGGGGCACCTGGGTAGCTCAGTCGTTGAGCGTATGCTTCGGCTCAGGTCATGATCCCAGGGTACTAGGATCGAGCCCCACATTGGGCTCCCTGTTTGGTGAGAAGCCTGCTTCTCCCTCTCTCATTCCCCCTGCTTGTGTTCCCTCTCTCGCTGTCTCTCTCTGTCAGTTAGATAAATAAAATCTTTTAAAATATAAAAACTAAAAAAAAAACCCCAATTTTATAAAAGGATGTCTTTGTTCTTTAAAAAAAAATGAAGCCTGAAATGTTACGGAACAAAGGGCCATACTGTATGCAGCCTACACTCAAATTGTTCAAAATATAGATTACATGTATGTGTATACATGAGTCTGCAGAGAAAGAAAGAAAATGATTTTTTTTAATGTGGGGGAAAAGTTTTTAAAATTATGTGTCTGGATAGAGGATATTCAGGAGTTCTTTGTATTATCGTTGTAACTTTCCTTTAAAGTTGAAAAATTTCAATATTTAAAAATGTTTTCTAAAGAAGAACTTCCCGTCTTGTTCCCTGGGGAACTCAACACTAAAGGGACTTACCTCCACACCTAAGTAGCTTCAGAGATTTTTGTGCTCTCCTGTTCCCCAAGCTCTTCCCTCCCAGGGTTTCTTTCTTCCTGAAAAGTGCCCTGGATGCTGGTTTGTAGAAAAATGGCTGGCTCCTGCCGGTCCCTGTGCTCTTAAACCCAGACTTAATTCCCAAGCCCACCCACCTTCCATTCCTCCCACCAGCACTGGATAAACACTCACTCAATTCTCTCTGCTCCCACAGACACTTTGAAGTAAGGCTATTTGGACAGACAGACAGGAAATGGCTCCAGCTTGGGACACTGCGGATAGTTTTGTCTGGTCAGTTGTCCCACTCCCGAATTCCACCCACTATCCTGAGCTTTATTGCAGCCTGACCTTACCATGAAGCTCAGATCAAGTCACTGTTTAATATTCTCCACATGTACATCCTTCAGCCCTTTCCTGTTCGTTTCTAGCACGTCAAGATCCTTGGCCTTTATTTGGGTCAACTCTCCAACATGGTTATTTTGCTTCTTACATTTTAGACTTGGATCATGACTTCATTTGAACATTGGAATATTTGAGGCAATCATAAATGTGCAAGTACCTTAAGCCTAGCACTGCCCTCCACTCCCTTCTCCCTGTTTCCAACCCAACCAAGATCCACATTCCCATCAGAACATCCACATTTTGCAAACCTGGTAATTTAGCTCTAGATGAGACCAATCCAAAGCAGCACCATCACTACCAGTCCCTGTAGCCTGGGTGAGAAAACCAGGAGGGTAACAATGCTGATCCTATTCATGTCTTTAGCTAAAAGTGACAGCAGAAGATGTTTTTTAAAGCACTCTGGAGATTATTGAGGCACTATAAAAACCCCTTCTGGACATAAACAAGACTCTTTAGGAGGATGTTTTGCTTTGTCATTTAGGCAGGAGTTTTCAAACAGTGGTCTGGGAGCTGCCTCTGTGATTGGCAGCGTCCACTTGGCTGGCCTTTTGCAGTGCTGATGTTGATAATTTAGGAGTATAATAACAACAACTAAACAATACTGAGCACTTACTTCACACTAGGCATTTATTACATTTCACCATCTACTTGTGGTGGTGCCCATTCTGCCCATTCAGTCCAGTGAGGTCTACTGGTAACATGAAGAGGACATAAAGAATCTTCTCCTGAGCACCCCCCTCCTCATGCTCACTCTCTCTTCCACTGTCTCTTTCAAATAAATAAATAAGGGGCACCTGGATGGCTCAGTAGGTTAAAGCCTCTGTGTTCAGCTCAGGTCATGGTCCCAGGGTCCTGGGATCCAGCCCCGCATCGGGTTCTCTGCTCAGCGGGGAGCTTGTTCTCCACCTGCCCCCACACCTTTCTCTCTGCCTACTTGTGATCTCTGTCAAATAAATAAATAAAATCTTTAAAAAGTAAATAAAAAGTGTGGCTCAGATGGTCGACTGTCTGCCTTCCCTCAGGTAATGATCCTGGAGTCCTGGGATCAGGGGAGCCCTGATTGGGCTCCCTGCTCAGCCGGAAGCCTTCTTCTCCCTCTCCCTCTGCCCTTCACCCCCACTCATGTGCACTCTCTCATCCTCTCTCTCTCAAATAAATAAAATCTTTAAAAAATAAATAAAATAAAATATGGACTTAAAAAAGTAATGGACTTCCACTTGTAGTCAGGATGGAGGAACAGTGATTGGATTTTGCCTAAAGCTCCTGGAAAAATGGACAAATAATATGAAATAATAGATTTTCAACACATTGGACAAAGGTGATGAAGTCCAGCGATCACTGAGAGAGGGGAAACAAAGAGGGTGAGCCTACTCCTCCAACTTACTCCCTGGGGAGAGTTTCTGGGCCAGATGGCACAGAGACCAGGACGTGGACAGAGTCTCTCAGTCTTCCTGAGACGAGGAGATGGAACTGAGAGTCCAAGGAGGACTAGGCAACTTGAGTTCATGCAGCAGAATACCAGGCGGGACAGGACTGCAGAGAAAGAAGTCCAGGGACCTTCGGTGGGAAGACACTGCTACACATCTATCAGAATGGCTAAAATGAAAAAAAAAAAAAAAGTAGTGATAATACGGAACACTGGCAAGGATGTGAAAAAACTGGATCTCTTGTATATTGCTGATGTTAATATAAGTGGTACTATTACCTGGGAAACAGTTTGGCAGATTTTCTAAAAAATACTAACTACATGCTTATCCTACAACTCAGCAACCACACTCCTGGGCATTTATCTCAGAGAAATGAAAACATATGTCCACCCAAAAACTTGTACACGAATGTTAACAGCATTTCATTTGTATTAGCCCACACTAGAAACAGCCCACATGTCCTCCACTGGGTGAGGAGCTAAACAAACTGGAAGACACGCACAGCACACAATCCTACTCAGCAGTAAAGAGGGCTGGGCTGCTGACACTCCTAATCACCCGGATGGATCTCAGGGGTATTACACTGCATGAAAGAAATAATAACATCAAAGGCCATGTACCCTATAACTCCATTTAGATGACATCCGTGCAATATGGAGAACAGTGTCGGGGTTTGAATGGTGGGCGTAAGGACACAGATGTGACTCTAAGGAGGTACCACAAGGGAGGTCCTTTTGTAGGTTTTTTTTTTTGTTTTTTTTTTTAAGTAACATCTACACCCAAAGTGGGAGCATCGAACTTAGGACAAGAGATCAAGAGTCCCACGGTCTACCACTTGAGCTAGCCAGGCACCCACACAAGGGAAATTTTGGTGGTGATGAAGTCATTCTGTATCTTGTTTGCAGCAGTGACTACATAAATCCACACATAAAATAAAAAGACACAGAACTACACACACACACATTATGCTACTGTCAATTTCACACATCATGTGGATACGTAAGATGTAATCACGAGGAAACGGGTGAAGGGTACATTAGAGCTCTCTGTGTTATCTTGGCAACTTCCTATGAACCAATAATTTTTGCAAAATAAACACTTATATTAAGTGTCAAGCCTCATTATAGGTGGTTTACTAACAGTATGGAGAAACACATGTCTGCACACATAGGACCCTCACCTACACAGTTATTTACACAGGATATCTAGCCTGCAGTCTTCTTCCACCCCACTCACCCCTGTGTGGATGTTAAATTCAACACCCGTATTAAAATTTCAAGTCGAGACGTCAGGTGGTAATTAAATATAGTGACTATAGGAGACTGTACAGCAGACCAGTGTGAGCTGGAGCTACAAATTTCAGAGCCATCAGCATATGACCAGGTATCTAAAGTATGAGACTGAAAGGGCATAAGGGTCAAGAGAAGGCTGGTTTTCTACTTTGTTTTGTTTTTAAGAAAAGACAACATCAGCTTGTTTACAGATAATAAAGACTAAGCAGAGAAGAAAACCAACAATGAAGGAGTGAAAGGCAAGACTTGTTGGAGCAATGATGTTTGAGTGCTCAGACTCCGAAGACAAGTTGCCTGGGGGTAAGTGTGAATCCATGTGATTGCATCTGAGAATCACACCTCGGGGTAGTGAAAGGGAGGTACAACGTCTTGGGTGTGAAAGCTCGGATTTGGGGATGCAGTTGAGAAGCACTTGGTTATGCAAGAATTAGTAATGGTCAGCACGCTCCTCTGCTGGGCACGTGGGAGCTTTTCCCTCACCCTGCAGTGGCAGCTGCTTCTGCCTGGTGACAGCTGACTGGATGGGTGTGAAACCAGCTCAGCCTCGGGATGGATGTTCTCCAAGCTACGAGGAGTTTCTCAGGATGAGAAACATAAAAACAAAAGAAGGGAAAGCGAACATTGAACATCGATTCACTACTAAGGGATTCAACTTTGCTGTGGGTCCCAAACCAGCCATTGCCTTTTGTCCCCAGGGTTTTCATCACACACATGCCCTCCAGATGCACCTAGGTTCAGAGTGGGGCCAGTGGGGTGGGAGGCATTTTTCAGAGACAGACAGGTTACTTGAGATGACCCTATGCTCGAACACTGACCTCCGTTAGGACTGCAGAGTGCTCAGGAGTGTGCAGAGCCTGGTGTCGGTTTAGCCTGACCCACCAAACCCAAAGGAACCTAGCCATGGAGGAGACCAGGCAAGCATCTTGGTAGGGAACACTTCCTGGTGCTCCCACGCAGTGTCATTTCCCATGCAGAAACCGTTCTGCAGGGGCGCCTGGGTGGCTCAGTGGATTAAAGCCTCTGCCTTTGGCTGGGGTCATGATCCCAGGGTCCTGGAATCCAGCCCCACCTCAGGGCTCTCTGCTCAGCGGGGAGCTTGCTTCCCCCCTCCCTCTCTGCCTACCTCTCTGCCTACTTGTGATATCTGTCTATCAAATAAATAAATAAAATCTTGAAAGAAAGAAAGAAAGAAAGAAAGAAAGAAAGAAGAAAGGAAGGAAGGAAGGAAGGAAGGAAGGAAGGAAGGAAGGAAGAAAGAAAGAAAGAAAGAAAGAAAGAAAGAAAGAAAGAAAGAAAGAAAGAACCGAATTGAAGTTTACGCTGTGCTCGGGGTGGCCAGCCAGGCAGTACGCAGAGACCAGAACCTAACTGTGCTCTGTGCAACAAACTGTGCAAACTGGCGCAGAGCTGACTTCACCCAGAGGAAGTGCCTTTCCTTCCAATTCATACAATGGTGGTATTTAGGCTTTCTGGGGACCTAATCAGATGGCTTTGCATTTTAGTTTACTTTCACCTAAATGAACTTACATGACCCTTACAACTTCCTCAACAAGTAAAAGGAACTAAAATTATTTCTCTTGTTTTACAGTAATCTTGAGGTAAGTGACTTGCCTTGGGCCACATAGCTAGGAGGCAGTAGAATGGGGGCAGGACTCTGACCTATAGGATTCCACCAATTGTTCCTTCTTTTATCCCATCTATCTTGCCCCTGATGGTCTGGTCCTATTGAAGTCATTTCCTCATGGATCTAGAGAACAACTAACTGATTACCACTGATGCCCAAAACAATCTTAAAAATATCTATCTCATATGAGATGGATATTTTCGGTTCTTAATAAGAATCCTGACAATTCACATTTATAAAATGAACTCACATAAACCTGGTCAAATCCATAGAACTCAACCCTGGGTTGCATT